CCCCAGCCCAGCAGCGTTCTATCTATCTTCGTTCCTGCTTCCTGAGTGACCAGGTTTCCTGCTGGTCTGCTTTCACTTCCCCTCCATGGCAGAAACACGCATGATTAGTCAATTATTTTGAATCAACAAGACAAAAAATCTGTGTCTTTCTCCTCAGGGGAAGGGCAGCGTACAGACCTCCATGTATCTATTTTTGCTTCTGAAGAGCTTGGAGTCAAATGTCACAGCTACTATATTAACCTTCACAGCTTGCAAGATTGATGCTCCTAAAAAAACAAAAATCAAAAACCAAACAGCAACAACTTTACTGTCTGAATACTTTTTATTTTCAGTCATACCCAACTCTTTTTCAAGAGAATGGGAACTTAATAATTACTGATCTGCATGGGGCAGAACTTCAGACCTCAGCCTCCTGAGCAATGAGTCAACTGGCCAAATCTGTAGCGTGTCCACCCACCGTTTCTAAGGTGCCCAAAGCGGTGGTTTGCTGTTGGTCCGCTGTGGTTTCCTGGGCACAGCGACAAAGGCAGAAAACATGAACTCAAGTCCACATTCTCTCTTGGCCCTTGACCTTGGGCGAGTCGTCTCACTTCTTTAAGCCCCAGTTTCTTCATCTATAAATGGCTCTATATTCTTCAGAGAGCTGTTGTGAAGACTAAAGGAGATAATGTCGATGGAATTACTTTATAATCTACAGAGTACTGTAGTGTTGCAGAGTGAGATTATATTCACCGCTTTGTGCCCTCCTCAGGAACCTGGGGAGGGTTCCTGTCAAATAGTCTTCTCAACTACATGCATTCTGACCACTCGTATTTTCAGCACTGAGAGAAATTGTTGTTAACAAACTCCTATAGTCTCCAATGTGTATATCACAGTACCCCAAAGCTTTGCCGTGACCCTTGGGTCCCTTGCAGACTCTGAGGGAGCAGCTCTCAGGGTTGGGATGTTGGATGCTTCTGCCAGTGAGTTCCGAGTTCTGATGGCCTGGGGCTGCTCTGCTGGTGGCAATGCTCACCAATCCCTCTCAGGTGGCATCTGTTACCATTCTCTTCGACTCCACCCTCTTTCTGGGACATTGAATTCATTTCCTTGATTTTAAGCCACATCTCTAGGCTGATGACCCCAAAATCTGTATCTGTAGCCTGTGCCTCTCTTGGTGCCACAGACTAGTATCCCCCATTGCCTATGGGACAGCTCCTCCTAGGAGCCCCATGGGTAGGGGAAACTCATCATGTCCAAAACCAAACTCGTCTCGGTGCCCTTCCTGCCCACTTTCTCCTCTTACAATTCCTATCCAGATCTTTCACATCTGCCCTCTCCTCTGCCCTCTCATTGCCATGGCTTTGGTTCAGGTCCTCATCATCTCTCACTGGGACAACTGTTGTGGCCTTCTGATTGGTCTTCCTGCCTCCTATCTCTCCTCTCTCTAAACTGTGGTCCACACCAGCTGCCAGGCAGAGCTTTCAAGATGCTGCTCTGACCAAGTCAGCGTGTCCTCCCACTCAGAAATCTTAAATGTGCTCTGCACTTGAGGTTCTCTGAGACTGAGCCCTGATCACCTCTCCATCTTCACTTCGTCGCAGCCCCTCTCTTGCACGACATCCCAGTATTTCCAACCAGAGCAAATGACTTGAAGTTCATCAAGTGACAGGCTCTCTCACACATTTCTGCCTTTAACATGCGCTGTCTCCATCGCCTGGAAAGCCCCTCCTATTCCTTGCCTGATAGGCCAGCTCCTACTTGTTCTTCAAGGCTGGTCGAAAGCCTCATCTCCTCTCTGAAGATTTTCTTGACTCTTCCACACAGAATTGATGGTTCCTATAGCAATTTGTACATACATCTTTTATTGCCTGGTATGGTAATTGTTTACAGGTCTTTTTCTCACACTAAACTGTGGTCTTCTTGGGCAAGATGTGTTTGTAATTCATCTTTGTGTGACCGCCTCTTTGAACAATGCTGGAAACATGGTAGATTCTCTGAAGATGTTTGAATAAGTTTATTAGTGATTGAACTATCACACCCATTCTTTTTTTTTTTTTGTGAGGAAGATCAGCCCTGAGCTAACATTCGTGCTAATCCTCCTCTTTTTTTTTGCTGAGGAAGACCAGCTCTGAGCTAACATCTATTGCCAATCTTCCTCCTTTTTTCCCCCAAAGCCCCAGTAAATAGTTGTATGTCATAGTTGCACATCCTTCTAGTTGCTGTATGTGGGACGCGGCCTCAGCATGGCTGGAAAAGCAGTGCGTGCGTCCGTGCGTGCCCAGGATCCGAACCTGGGCCGCCAGTAGCGGAGTGCACGCACTTAACCGCTAAGCCACGGGGCTGGCCCCACACCCATTCTTATAGTAGCAGCACACCTGAGGCCAAATCAATATGATAGGAGGAGTAAGTCCAGAGCTGTGAAGTCCAGTAAAGATGCCACTGGCCACATGTGGCTATTGAGCACTTGAAATGTGGCTAGTCTGAAATGAGATATACTGTAAGTATAAAATACACACAAAATTTCAAAGGCTAAATATGAAAAAAAGAATGTAAAGTATCTCAATATCTTTGACATTGATAACTTGTTGAAATGATAATCTTTTGGACATATTGGGTTAAATAAAATACACAATTAAAATTAATTTCACCTGTGTATTTTTGCTTTTCTAATGTGCCTACTAGAAAATTTAAAATTACACATGTGGCTCACATTTGTGGCTTGCATTATATTTCCATCGGGCAGTGATGATCTAGACAATTCATTCACTGAACAAATATTTCTTGAGCACCTGGTGCAGAGGATGCTCTGTACCAGGTGTTAACCTAGATGATGGGACTAGTACAGTAAACAGGATAGATAGGGTTCCTGACCTCGAGGAGCTTACATCATAATGGAGAGAGACACAGAACAGGAAGCAGATGTGCAAGCAAGATAATTTTGGGTAGTATAAGTAAAGTACTATGAAGAAAGCAAAGCAGGGTGCTTGATAGAGAGGTTGGGGGAGGCGCAGGAGGGCAACCAGGTAAGGTCTTCTAGAGCAGGTGAGGTGAGAGGCAGGGAGACGAGCAAGGAGGCTAGGACATGAGAGACGGTACAGACCTGAACTAAGACAGTGGTGGTACAGATGGGGAGGAGCAAACAGACTGGAGAGATTTGGAAAGTAACATTGGCAGGACTGTTGTAACCAAAGGAATGTGGCATTGGCCAGAACTAATGTGGACTCCCAGGCTTCTGGCTTGGATGACTGGGTGAATGGTGGTGCCACCAGATGAGATAAAGCTGGGGTGGTCTTGAGGCAGATGAGGAATTCCATTTTGGCCATGTGGAGTGTGAGGTGCCTGTGGGATGCCCATGCAGCAGCACTGAGAGAAGAGGTCAGTGCTAGGAATGACAATTTGGGATCTATCAGCGTTGACGCGGTCATTAAAATGGAGCATGGATGAGGAAGGAAAGAGAGGAGATGGCAAAGGGAGGGGAAACTCAGGTCCAGGAGCACATTTCTAAATTGGAACATACATGAGCACGTGTCTAGTGCGGTTCAAAGTATAAGAGAGAAGGCAAGATTGACACAGAGAGGTTTGGGTGGTGGTGGAGGGGTCGCGCTGGCCCCAGAGGTGGTGGAGATCGGTTGGGAGGAGAGAATGGTCTCAAGGGAGGTATGTGTTTTCGGGAGGAAGAAAGAGTTTAAGGAAAGTGGTGAAGGTTAGGAGTAGGTGTGTAAGAGGGTGATGTCCAGGTCACAGGTGAGGACATCTCTTGGGGAAACTTTGGATATGTCACAGTTTGGGCCAAGGCTTTATCATTATGTCCTCAGAGTTGGAGAAGCTTCCAAGAAGCACAGGATAGGGGGTCAGAGAGCTGGCTTTTGAAAAGCTGGGTCACCCTGGAACTGGTCATAGTCTTTTGCAGCTCATTTTTCTCATCTCTAGAGTGAGCCGCATGGTCTCTCCAGCTCACTGGCATTGTAAGGACACTAGTACATGTTGGACCTCTCTTGATTGCTTGAGTTGTTCTCTGAAACTTACTTCCCTTCCCTTTCCCTGCCAGTAGACCAATCCTGGCTCAGTCCCAGGGGGCTTTCTGAGGCCACCCCCAACACATGGTCATGCAGCCAGGGCAATACTCGGCATGCATTATTCCTATATTCTATAATGATATCATATTATTCTGTAACCAGAGGGCATCTGTCTGACAGTATTCTGAGGGCAGGGCCCTTGTCTTCCCTTCCTTGCACCCTGCAGGGCCTAGTGGGGGCTGCTGGCAGTAACCTGGCCTCCAGGAACCCTCCCTGGGATAGAAATGAAGGGCTCTTGAGTCTCCTAAGTCATGGCATTCCTCTGAGTGTCAGTTTCAATCCAAAAAATGGGAATTGCAGGCGACAGTAGCGTACTGAGCAGTGTACGGTGAGCGCTTCATGCACATTAACTCAGCGAATCCCGTGATCGTAGACGTGGGTTATCCCGGTTTGATAGAGAAGGGAAAAGACACAGGTTAAGTAACTTGACCAAGGTCAACAGCTGGTGAGTGCGCAGCCAGGGTTTAAAACCGGGATTCAGACTCAGTGTGCTTACAGCCTGTTGATGGCTGCTCCGGTGGAGGGGTTCCAAGGTTTCGGGATCATTTGTCCCTTCGCGTCCCCGGGCCGAGGGTTCCCCCCGTGGATGATCTTGCCGGCCCTTCCCGCTCTGACACTCCCAGTCTGGCTCCACCCTCCGCCGGCCCGCGGCTCAGCCCGGAGCCTCTCCAGGTCTTCGATGACAAGCTCCTGGCCGCCGGCTTCCCGCAGAGCGCGCGCC